GGCATGCCATTCATTTCGTTTAAGAAGGCAGGTGCAAGGGATTCGTAAAGTGGCGCACCGGGTACCGAAGGATGGTTGTCTTGGACTTGTGACATCTGGATTGTGCAAAGAATATCCCGGCTCACCATCCTGCCAGCCCGATCAAGTTGTGCTAAGTCTTGGTTAAGCCGAGGTCTTCTTCGCATAATCCAACAGTCACAAGTCCAAGGCAACCCTTCTTCGATATGTGGTGAGGCCAAGTGACGAATCCCTTCAACCTGTCTTTCAGACGAAATGAAATGTATGCCAGCATTACTCTACTATGGGATCTTCCGAAACCCAGCTTCCCCCTCTGCCTCCGAATGGACCTGTTCTTAAAAGTTTTTGGTATACAATAAACACTGTGGCAGTAGCTGCAATTATCTCGTCATTTCTAATCGCTTTATAAGTGCTACGGGCCTGAAATGTGCATTCGTCATGCAGGCAAATGCAAAATCAGACGGGTCTAAGTTTATACCAAGGAAAGAATGGCTTGTGCGTAAATGTGTTGAGGCGATAAATGGATTCGTGTATCCGTGTCCATGAATTCTGCTGCGACGGGCTCCGATGAGGGAAAGATTGATCGCGTACTTAGCGAAACACACGGTTGCAAGTCAATCATACAGAGGTTCACATCTCACGTCAGCATAATGCCCATATAGAAGAGGGAAGGGAAGATCGGGCAGTACAATGGAGGGAGCGAGAGAGCGGCATTATGAGAGGTTTCGTCAAAAATCTTGAACATTTTAAGCTGCCCTGAACGAATATATTCGTCGAACGAGACTCTAAGTCGACATAAATATTTATCTCATAGGCTTTTTTCATACATTTTAGAGGATCCCATCGTCATTCTAAAGTCTAAGGATTTGTTTTCGTCCCCGTTAGCCAGACAATGTAGCATAGGCAGGAGAGCCTCCTGGTCTGAACCCTTCGCTCTTGGTATTATATCGATGTCTATTCTTCGCTCAGGATCCCTGGGAGGAAAATGGCAGGTTAATGAGGAAACAGGTCGAGAGGCAAATTATAGCCTCGATAGTCGTCGGGCTTAGGAGTGAGGCGAACAGAGAGTCGAATCAAGCTACGGCCAATAAACGTGGCCACCCAGTGGCTAGTTATCAGATTAACCAGACAATTCGCTGCATCTTGAGTAGTGAATGAAAAAGGAGATAATGTGCAAAATGGAATTAGAGTGACGAAATAATTAAAAATAGCAGTAAATAGCGTTCTGCAGAGCGAAGAAGCCATGCAGGTTCCCAATAATTGGCAAGACTATGACCTCAACTCAAGCGATAAATAAGGTGGTGTGTAGACTACGAGCCTCGGTACAGGACCTGAGCGGGTGACCAAGTCGCAATCATAAGCACTCACACGTATAGCCAGAAGGTTGCGATGGTAGCCTCCGAGGCACACAGACACACACACGCAGGCAGGCCTAGAGAACCGAGAGAAGCAGAGCGGAAATGAGCAAACGCATAAATCAACGGCGAAAAATACGGCCGTATTCGGGTGCTGAGGTGGAGACCGGTGACGGGTAAACTAAGTCGGCCATTCCACGATGCCTCTTGCAGAGAGCTGAGTCACGCGTCGGTGACACCTGGTGTGAAGCAGACAGTTAGCTGAGCAGGTCGAAGGGGCCGAGAGAAAGGGTATAGCCACCAAAGGTACCAAATGTGCCAAGTTGCAGATGTTGAATGCCGACTCGTGTCTGTTAGAATGCCATAGAGAAAGGGTGTCGTTCGAAGGGTGGTATGAAAAGGAAAGCCTCACCCAAAGATATCGACCTAAAGATATGTGATATCGTGTAGCAGGTTTGTAACGATAATGAGAGAGAAGAGAGAGGCCAATGATCCAATGACATTCAGCCATAAGTTTACGCGGCCTACAAGGGCTTGAGGATGGCCGTGAAATGGAGCTACGGAACAAGCACTGTTTCGGTGGGACAGCAGACACAAGAGCCTCCGAGGACAGCGGTGACGATACAGTCTGGAGACAAGGAACCAGTACAGTCAGAAACAGAATCAAATATGCTCAAATATGCTCTTCACACACTTGGCAATAACCGAGTAAATGTGGGATCGAGTGATAGGGATATCTTTTCAAACAGTTACTTATTCGAACTGGTCAGCTTTGCAGGAAAAGCGAGAAAAGACCAAGCAAGTCCAACTGTTGTATGTACAGTAGGATTTTGAAGAATGCTAACTGCAAAAGGATCTGTGTAGACATGGCATTGCAAATCAAAATCGCGAAAACAAATGGATGCTGGGCAAAATGTGTACACAATTCGCGGAGAGGAACTTGTGGCAAAATCAGAAATTGCAAATCATTCACTCTAAATAGCTTCAAAAGCTCATTGCGACGTGCAGAAGGTCAAAGGAAACTTCGACTTGAATGTTAAAAGTATCTTGCCCAATAAAACTAGTTTGGCCTTGTATTCGCAGCTTGTTCATGGTGCACCTTTTTTGGAGCCCTCTGTTATGGTAGCCATAATGATGGGAATTGGTGCATATCGAAACAAGACTGTGATTAAAATAGAGACAACACAATCTTTGCCTTTATACCTTCGATCAAACTAGTTCAGCCAAGTCTTCAATTTGTTGGGGCTGGTGTAGATCTCACTACTGGCATGAGATAAATTGCTGCCGTATAAGATGGAGTTTATATTCTTTGGGAAATAAAGCCCTGTATGAAAAATCCTAATTCTCAAACTAGACAAGGTGAAAGCCTGCTGAGAATCACGGTGCACTCTTCAGATATGATTGATGTATAGAATAGGCAAAAAAGTCGGAGAAAGGCTACAATTAAGTCAATCAGAGGATATCTAACACCATGGGTAGTTTGAAACAGTTTCCGAACTAGACACCAAGGCAGCACACCAATCGAACGGAAATAACCTAATAAATCAACTCAAGAACAGCTCGTACGAATTGCTACTAACGGCATTTGTTAAGAGCTCAGTTCAGAATTGGTGGTATTTAATGTCAGCAAATCATTATGCTTCAAGCTTTCACGATCCAACACCGACAGCACATAGCATTATCTCAGGTTCTAGTTAGTTATAAAGAGACTATTTGTTCGAAAAATAGTCTATTTTAGACAGGCTAACTAGGATGATGACGAAGCAGCAAATCAATTCATCAAAGTGGGTTGACCTCGTCGCAATTTGGTCATGTTGTCAGAGCGACTTAGTAGAGCGCACCTAGTCCGAAGTCGCCTGCCATAGTAGTTGTCATGATTCCCAGCATCAGATAGTGGACTTGGTACATTCTCAAACGTTTCGCCGACATCATAGTCAGCATCATTAGTAAGTTTTGCCATTCTCCGTACCAAGCTACGGACTCGTCAAAGTGAAGTCAACAAGTGAAGTCGACAAACGTTCTGCCGAAAACGGTTACACTATCATTCATATTTCTGTCCAGGCCTATCTATCTACTCTTTACTCTCCTATCCAACTCCCGCCCGTCTGAGAATGTATCAAGTCCACTGTCTGAAGCTGGGACTTATTACAACTACTAGGGCAGACGACTACAGACTAGGTGCGTTCTACTAAGCCGCCCTGACAACAAGACCAAGTTGCGACAACGAAAGAAGACTGCGACCATACCAGAGGCCACAACATCTTGGTCTTCATATATTCAATTTATTAAGTTCATTTAACTCATTTAGTGGGAGCTCCCAGTATCAAGCGCCGGAACAATTTCAGGCTTTTGAATAGACTGGATAGCAACTTCTTCTTTGTTAATTGATCTTTCCACAGAAATCAATTCGGCTTGTCAGTTATTCTTTGCATTTATTATATATTCCCTAAAAGTACTTTAATAACAGGCTTTAGACCAAGTACAGGGGCCAGAGTAAAATCTCACCCTCTTCAAATCCGAGGGTAACTAGATCCTCGACTTATAATAAAACAGGAAGAGGCTAACATCTAAGCGGAGGAACTAAACTAATCCACCCAAAGGGTGAGGAACGCTGTAAACAACATCTTATATCTGAGCTTAATAATAATAATAATAATGATTTTTTAAATGACCCTATAAGCTGTTCTTTAAGCTACAAATCAAGTTCGTCATGCGGCATGAAACAGCTGAATCACTCCGTAACAGAATTTTTTAGAAGTAGTTTGACCTTGTTTTCGCAACTTGGTCATATTGGTAGGAAGACTTAAAGAAACGCACCTAGTCCGGAGTTTTTTAATTGAGATTTCTATTTCATCAACCTCACACTTTAGGAATATGGGTAAAAGGCTTTGCATAAGGAATCTTGAAATTTTCTTAATTATTTGCAACTTTAATAGGACCAGCATAAGTATCAAAAATTTATTCCATAAAGTGAAAGCACGATGCCCTTTCTAAACCTTACGAACAGTGAATCTAAAGTACTATGCAGTTAGCTCTTGCAGTTCCTCCATAAAACTATCAGTTTATTACTTTGCGAGGCAGCCCGGCTTCCATAAAACATACGACATTTCCAAACCGTTGGGGTCTTAACGATTATTCTCTTTGCTTGCACTAACACTGTACATAAAATTAAAATATGGCAGTGCTGAGATTCTATATCCTCTGAAAGAAGGATATATTTAAAGTTTCGATTTATGGAAGTAGTAAAACATAACCGTTAATGAGCTGCAAAGGCATTCAAAATAGCTTATATTATGTCTGTGGCTTCCCTAAACAAGGATTTGCAATACATTTTACTAAATTTGCCAAATAAGATTCTAAACA